GACGATCTTTCACGGTTTACTTCCTGTTCTTCGCTTCGCTGACTCTTCGTGAACTCCAGCTCCGCTCACCTTGAATATTTCATCGATCGACTCGTAACACGTTACCAGTGTGCTCATTGTCTGAAATCGTCAACGAATCGAGCGTAATAGTGGATCCTTTTTCCACCTCTAAGCTCGCTACTGCAATCATGGGATGTTATTGTAGGAATTTGAAAAGAAGAAGATTGAGGATCGAGGGTAAAAGAGAACTTGTGGTTGAATGATAATATCAGGATGTTATGAAACGCGAACTCGTTAAAATAAAGTGATTTGCTTTCTATCGTCTTCGTCGCAAGCGGAAAGTGATCGCGCGTGAGTCTGTGTGAAAATAATTGGGAACGGTTTCGTGATTGGTCAGCTTCGTTCATCTCGATAGAGTTACCGAAACGTTTTTCAATTTTCCGACTCTGGTTCATTTAAAGCGCCGCTTTGTTAATTTCTAGTTGCAAGAGCAAAACGAGGAGAGCGTTTGTGGATGCTGGACCTTTGTAAATAGGAAGCAAAGGCACAGCTTAGATTTTGACAAAGGGATTTTTACGGAGGTCTCTCGGACATCTTACAAACTATTTTAAGAGAGGGACTTGAGATTTGGACCAGTTCTGGACATACTCCAGATATTTCTTTGTTTCTATATCCTTCTCTGCTCATCGTCTCTCAGTTCATCTCTCTTCTAAAACACGTTTTACTAAGGCTTCTCACAGAGAAACAAAGATTTTCCTTGCGTTTATTGAAAACTGCACGTAATTTGAAAAAAAAAAAAAAATGTGTATAAAAATACTTGCAAAGTAGAATGCTTCTTACAGCGTTTAATAGACAAAATGATTTTCTATGTATTTAGTATTTGTGAGATCATCTGTATGAACGCTTGCAGAGTCTAGAAATCAGTCTTCGCGACATTACGGTGTATATTTACTTGACACAGTCCTTCGTGTCCTTCAGAATTTTCTGCAATTTCCGGAGAGCTTCCGCCTGAGCGTTCGCGTGACATTTCACCGCCTGTTCGAGCTGTTCGGCGACCGATGCCTCCGCGCTCTTCATCGTTTCGTTCAGCTCGTTCGAGATCCGCTTTCGCTGTTTCACAGCCTGCCTCGTCTCGCTCGCGATGCACTTGACGAAATCGTTCGTCCGCAGACACTCTTTCAGGACCTGTTTCATCGTACTCCTCAACGCGTCCGCCTCTTGAATCCGTTGATCGCACGTCGTCCTCGCTGCGCGAAGCGCGCTCGCCGCCTTTTCATTGCAGATTTTTATCCCCTCGTCGTAGGCGCCTTCGATGTCTCGCAGACGGTCCATCTTCCCCGCGGCGCACACCTGCAACAATTTTATTATCTCGTTCGCTCGTCGTTTAGTTCGACGCGGTTCGCTGGATCTCTTCTATTATATAAATTCCAAGTGGAATGCCATGGAAACGTGGTTTAATGTCGCGAGCCACGAGGTGAAGGGCGTGAAATTTTCCCGAGGTGGGGCGACGGAAGAGCAAACTTTGCGAGCACGTAGCTGCGTTCTCGATTCTTTCGTCTTTCGATGCATGAAATTCATCATTATTATCGGATGCTTATCGTGCGATAGACTTTTCCAAGTAACTATAAGAATTACGAAAGTGTATATATATTTATTTTTATCAAACTATATAAGAACTATAAGGAACTACAAGAATTATGAAAATGTGAATGAATATATTTGGAATCTGTCTCTTAAAGATATTTCCGTAATCAGAGATAATTCTAATGACTACCTCGCTGGTCCTTCGAATGGCTTCCTCGACCTTCTGCATTTCCCTTTTTACAAATTTTTCGTTGTTCCTCACCAGTTCAGACAGTTCATCGCCGGTTTTCGCAAACAAATCCTTCAGTTCCTTCATCTTCTGGTCGACGTCCATCTTCGTTTGACGAACGACGTATGCGAACGTTTCAGCGAATGATTTGGCCAGATCCTTGTCGCTTTTGCTTCGTTTCGAACATACGTTTACCTTCTACGAAGAGGAATTGAAATTATCTCTGTTACGTGACGAAGTGGTCGCGTGATCTGCGTACGTTTGCCCTGAAGTCCTGCCTCGCGAGGACGTAGAATTTTAGATTCCTGCTCGTGTTTCGCATGATTCCGAAAGAGCGATTCGCGAGCAGCTGTTTGTAACATTCTGGCAGTGACATTTCTTGTCTTCTTGTACCACGTTACATCGCGAGACGTGAGTCTACCTCTCAATTTCGTCGTGAAGATGATAAAACTCGCTGTGCTCGAAATCGAAACGTTTCCTTTCACCGCTTCTTGCACGAATACTGTTGTTTATATTAGACGAACAGCTCTCTCGTCGTTTTTCACTGGAATCATTTGTCTCGAGACACACTCGTGGAAATCTGAAGCAAAAGTCGGGAAGGAAGGCTGAAGAATTTCGTTAATTGAAATCTGCTGGCGATGGATGGAGCGATACGAGATAGAGAGATATCGATAGGAGATTCGATTTCGAGCGTCGGAGTATTTCAGGGCGGTGGGTGACGTTCGCGTTATTTATCGGGGTTAATAGTCGGACCGAAAGCAGCGGCATGAAGAATTATTTATCCGGTCGGTGTTGAGTCGTAGCTGTGGGAAGCAGCTAATACTGGAAATACAGCCCGAAATATTCAGACGACGACACATTAAAGTGGCCAGCAGTTGATCGTAACCGAGCTGAGAGAGAATTATATACATTGTCGTGAGAGATTCTTCTCGGCACGAGAGAAGAGAGATGTTAAAACGGCCGGGCGAGAAAATTTTAGTTTGGTGCGCGCGGGCATAAAGCGTGCTGTATTTCACACAAACTGTCTCGCAACAACAACGCGTCTTTATTATTAAATTCTGCACGGGATACACCGTCTCCGCGGAACGCCGCGATAGTTGCGCGTTTTATACGAATTTCATGCGAAATGCAGGAGACGATCCCGAAAGTTTCGGTAGATTAGCAAGAGATATTAAAGCCCACTTACTCTGGAATATAAACAGGACGCGATTCAAGAATTTAAGCAGGCTGCTCGAGACACTGAGCGAATCTGCCAAGAAAACATACAGAAAATTTAAGAAAGTCAACGGGGAACAACGTCTGATAATGTTATCGACACTTCATTGAGCCAAGCGTTTCGTTTCCAACGGAACAACACGATGCGATTGTTGTCGTTGATCGGACGTCCCGGAAGAAATCGAATTACCGGGTGAAACTTTTTGAAAGGGATCGAACATTGCGAAAGTCTCGAAACGGGAAGAGAGAGAGAGAGAGAGAGAGAGAGAGAGAGAGAGCTGTCGTACATTCCGCGAACAAAGTCAGAGAACTGCTCGTCGAGATGGGTATTTGTTTTAATAAAGACGGGAACGATCTGATCCTGACGGGTGATCGAGTAGATCCTAGACCTTTGAGGGACAGCCAAGCAATCGTGATTTTTGTGGTAGGTGGCCCAGGTGTTGGAAAGAACGCGTTGGGTAAAAAGTTGGCTTTGAAGTACAATTTCGTTTTGGTCTCGGTATCTGCTATACTTCGCGAAGAGATCGCTAGAGGTACGGAAAGGGGACATTTGTACAAGAGCTTCATGGAGAAGGGTGATATTTTACCAGCCATGATGGTCGTTCAGTTGGTAGTGCGAAAGATGTTGGCCTATCCAGACGCTTACGGATATTTGATCATTGGCTTCCCTAGGGACAAGAAACAGGTGACGATTGCTGGTAGACGTATTCTGTTCTGTGAGTTTCGAGAAACTATCCGTGGTACTTACTGTACGCAGAAAATATATTTTCCTGTATCTTCGTTAAATTTACTTAACTATTTACGTAATTCACGTAAATTTAAGCGCTTTTAAATTATTTCAATTATTTTGATTGAAAAGGTATTACACATTGACTATCATGTTTCTTTTGCAAATGGAATGATGAATCGGTTTTTTACGTTCGTCGAATATTGATACTCTGATTAAGAAATAACTAGTTTCAGTTTTACAATCGAGGGATAATAAAAGATAACGTGGAAAATATTTGTTTCAAATTTAATTTTAATTCAAGTAAAACTCACTCTGCGGAAGTCATGCAAGTTCTACGAAAAAATGAAATTAAAATACTTCCGATCGTGTTATTCTGTGCAAAAACGGAGCAGTTAAAAAAGAATAGCGCGATTGTAAAATATACAGTATTATACACTTGCACTAAAAATATGATCGTGAGTATGTAATCTACCTTTTCATCTTTTTCTCTCCGTTATATTTTTCTAAAAAAAGATGTAGTTCGTTACAATTGCTCGAATCGGCCTGACTGAATAAAATTTATTTTGGTTTTCCGAAACCAAATAATTATCATTTCATTACGAGCAAGTGTTTTTGTAATTCGTACCAGCTCTTCTCTTTATCTGATTTTTCCGTATAGGTAGACTTCATTTTTACGCGTAAGAAAAAAAAACAAAAACCGCATAGAATGAATAATCTAAGCACGTAAAATCGAGGCACTGAGAAAAACGATTAATCGATTGACAGGCTGTACTGTTCAACACGGAAGTAAAGCCGCCTGAGTTGTTAATAAATCTGTATGCCAGGAGATCGACTCTTCAAAATCGACTGACACAGCGTTCTGTGGGAATGCTGCGGTTCGACGATACCGAAGAAGCCATTCGAAATCGTATAACGAATTATTTCGTGAACCTGAAGAGTGCGATCACGCCTAACAGAATCGTGATGAAGATGATCGATGCTGAAGTAAGTCTGGAGGAAATGTACAATGAGGCTTGTAGTTTAATAGAGGAAGTTCTAATAAAGGAATGAAGAAAGTTGATGTTTATGATAATATATGTGTGTATATATATATATATATATATATATATATATATATAT